GCGGATTTATAGTTGTTTCGGCAGGAATTCGCTATTGTCAAATCGGGTGACCGTACATTTGAACCCACGTACATTTGAACCCATGTGTATAATCGCGGGTTCAATCTATATGCGGGTGCTAAACCCATGGGTCAGGGTTAGTATGGATTCAAATATCCGTAAAACAACAAAAATTTCCATAAGTGCGTTAGTATGCCGGTGCAATCGTCGTGGGTTCAAATGTACGTGGATTCAAATGTAATAGAACCGTCAAATCGAAACAAACTGAAAGCGATATCACATTACCGACACTCAACAATACCATTGTAGGTAGGAGGAAACAGTCATTTCTTCTACATTTGTCTGCGTGTGTTCACAGTTAAGTATAAATTTAGACATGAATGGACACTGAAAATGCAGGTGAATTTTCCCCAAAATATCTTTTAGCAGTGCCTCCGAATCAGTGATTGCAATTATTTACTGCCATTCGCAAGTTTTACTAATAGTAGATGCATCAGATATGTTGTGACACCAGGGTGGCCCAATATGAAAAATTCTTCATATATATATATCTGCGCTTTTTGGAAGCAGTTTTCTTATTTTTAACAGTTGGTTGTTTTTCGCCGCTATTCATTGCTTGTACTAAACCCAACTTCTCGCGTTGTAGACATAGTCTGAAAGATGGAGATCTAAACATCTAATATGTCATTTATGAAGATTCCGAAAAAATAATCTGTGGAATGATTTTATTGTGTCGATGTTTCAATTAAATATTCTTATCAATTTATGTATATATATATATATACTGTAAATATATATATAGATATTTGAATAAAAATGCCAATAAATTAATTATACTAGATAATACTAGAACAGACTTTTACCAGTGGAGATAAAAATTATATTTGAAACATAGGCTGTTAAATGTCCTACTGGTTCGAAGAAAGCAAAATTTCATAAAAAATGTGAAATCTAATTGTTTTGAGTCTGTTCCAGTTTTGGGTAAACATCACAGTTCTCCTTGAGCCTAAAGTTAGGGTTCTTGTAAATTGGGAATCAATTTTTAGAACATCAGTAAGTGGTGGTGTAATATAGATATCAGCTAATTCTGTACATGAAGGGCTGTACAACTATAAAATTTATAACACATACATTAGAATTTGGACTTGTGGTGGCGATCAAATATTTGGGGTCTATTATCAAACATTACAGTGTACACAACGTTATTCCCCGACGCTCGTGGTAAAATCGCCCTCTTTGTGTCGAATTCAAAAATCCATTCATGCGAATAATTATATTATAATGATTTAGTACAGGGGTGTGCAACCTTTTTTTATTGGCGGGCCAAATACAAGTAACCGGGTGAAGCCGCGGGCCGCACCTTTATTTAATTCAGGCTTTCTGGTAGTTGCAAGCACAAAAATTGCCTATATTTGCTATTGATCTTACGGCATTATTAGGGGTTCTTGCAGAAATAGTAGATTTAAAGCGCACAAACTCCTGAAGAAACTGCTATTTAAATTTTTTGTCACACCGACTTCAAACGAATGCAGTGAGAAACACGTTTTTGTAATATGAATCGTGTATTTTGCAACAGAATTTTGCTAGCTTGTTTTGCTAATATGACTGGTATGGGCTTTGCGACGAAAAAGAATAAATACTCGTTTTGCGGGTACATCATTCGAAATTGGTATTTCTCTGCGGGCCGCACAACTTCTTCTTGCGGGCCGCAGTTTGCACAAATCTGATTTAGGATATTTTGTACAAACCCCCTGCCAAAAATGTAAAAATTTGAGAATTAAATGAAGACCCCAGCCACGTTTTAAAATGACAAATCAGTAATTATTCAGTTAGGGTTGTTAATGATTTAAAAATGTGAATTTCCAGCGCAATCTTCATCCTTCCTTAACTAGATAATTACTAAATTGTTTGTTTCTTTTGGCGGGTGCGTTGTACAACAAATCCTAAATCTGTAAGGTTCGCATTGACATGAACCACTGCAAGCCTCGCGTCGATCGATATTCACTAATGCGCAATCCCACATTATATATCTTTATAGTGTCAATATAGCTGTTAGCATTAAATTTTCTGATTCATTTCTTGTGACTTTGCCTTAAGCAAGTATGCTTAAAAAACATACATTCGCTTCCTGTAAAACCAACCGTAGCTGGCATTGTTTGATTAAAAAGCTTACTGTCTCAGTTCACTCAGTAACGTACTATGAATCTCCACGCGTAGATTATTCAATATTGAAAAGATTGAGACATATGACGTCATTATTGGATTTTTTACCTTCGCATTTTATCATGGCACTATACCCTATTGTAGGGCTACTCAACTGGCGGACCGCGGTCCGAATCCGGACCTTTCGAATATTGGATTTGGACCGCACCTAATGTATATCATTGGATCATTAGCCCCATTTTTTGAATTTCCTATCATAAAATGACTTTCATAGTTTTGAATATATACGAGAAGAACTATAACACCATAATAAACAATTTTAATTTGCTACTAATCATTAGTCGGTCGAGGAAGTTCTCGTTTAAGGATGCCGAAATATCATTTCTGGAAAGACCGGACCCAAATAATTTTGAAGTTTTGTTTGCGGACCTTCGATGAAAATAGTTGAGTAGCTCTGCCCTATTGTATACGATAGTATAGTCTCAAATGTCCACATAAAATGAAGTTCCGAGTTAAATCGTATTTCTGTGCAATTCTACGTTTTCAACAGATTATCTCATGTTTTTGAAGATGATACACGCTGAATTTGAGTTGCGTTTTATTCAATGTCCCACCGATGCTCAAGAACAAACAGGTATTCGGGTTCCGACTGGTAATTTCTAGATCGATCTGGCTACGAATCGAACAATGTTTGTAAATAAGCGCTTTTTAACAGGGATAACAGCGATTACTTACAATTTCACATTCTCCTTGTCAAATTTTTATGGTCAGCAAGTTTATATTTAAAATCTATATCGACAAGTCATCTGTATACAATACTTGCTTTAGAATCCGAAGTCTCGGTTTTACAAGATCTACTACGGTTTGGATATGAATCAAGTTCAGAAACAGTTGACAAAGGAAAAGCAACTCCAATTATGAGACTTGTCATAAAAACAAGAGAGCAATGCTTAAATAAATGGACGCGAACATCAAATGACTTACTAAAATCGTTCAATTTCGAATAAAAAAAACCCTATTTTCAACAATAATTTGATCATTTATTGTCTAGGTCAGCAGTTCTCAAAACTTTTATGTACCACCGTCCCATTACAACACCCTATACATATATATATATATTTATATATATATAAATCATCTCTTTCGCCCCTAGTTGGCGCCATTAACCACTCTTTAAGTTACTAGTCTAGACTCCGGGCGGCGTCAAATCCGTAGACGTCATTTTTTTCGGAGACGACATTTTTATGCTTGCCATAGAAAGTAAGATGCGCATTTTAGTCAAGAAAGGCGGTCAAATGATTACGTCAAAAAGCCTAACTTTGGATAAAATTACCCTACAACTCAACATTTTGTTTGGTTTGGGGTTCAATTAGCAAAACTTGACTTTTCGCCAAACGAGAGTACCCAAAAATATAGGCACGAAAATCCCGTGTTGCCGGTATCAGGGTAACACCATAAGGCCTTATCATGTTTTCTGAGCACCAAGTTTGCCGAAAAGATCGTTGTCAAGCGTCACTGAATACAGTGTTTTTATGAACCAAACTGAAACAAAAAAATTTGGGGTATAGTTTTGGCCTCTATCACTCAGAGAGGATTTAAATAAAAGTAATAGACTCCTATATTCATTTCTTCCACTTTAACGACTAAAAATTTCAATTCAAGTATACTGTATTAAAATTTGGTCCATTTGTTGAGAAGAAAGGAGACAACAATAACAATTATTTAACAAAATAATTCACATGTATAGTTCAAACACAATAAAGAACGTACAATATGCTATTTGGCCATTAACGGTGCCGACTAGTTATAATTGCCAATCGCAGGTTGGTTAAATTTAAAATGTTTCAAATTACGTTTTATTTGTACCGTCTATTTATTTGTCTGCAACATAGAACATATGTTTTTGGTATCCGTTCCCAAATTTGTTGTTTTGTCTTGAATTCCCGCTTTTGTACCAGGATTAATAAGAGATATCCTCTTTGTTTTAGTTTCTGTTGAATCTAGGCTCAACGGAATTGTATAACAGTGTTTCATGAGCGTCAACGCGAAAGCACAATTTAAATAGTTGATAGTATTGAGAAATGAACTCAGAGTCAGGAATGGCTGCTGAGAGAATCAGTCAATTTAAATGGAACTCCCGAAATATGTGAACCAACATGGCGGACACCGGAAGATAGTATGTGTACCAGGTTAGGCCATAATTTTAGTTACAAATACTACCGGGGTCACTTTGCTAGTCCCCGATCTCGTCTTGGAATAAAATTATGGCCTAACCCTAGCCTGGTAAATATACTGCGTTTCAGTGTCCGCCATCTTGGTTCACATACTTCGGGAGTAGGCTACCATTCAAATTTAGTACATAATATTCCATGGAATATGAGAAATAATCCTAATAAAATACGGAATATCTTTTGGGGCATTTCAGACCGCGATATTGTTAGAGAAGTTCGTGATTTTACATACAGCAGTTCGCATGCAATGTAGTTCCATTACCTCAAATATGTTGCGTAACACTGTAGGGCGGAATTACAAACAGTACTATACCCACAGCAATCTACCTCGATCTAGTCCGGGCGCGGAATGCAGTGAAGTTCATGATTGTGGCAAAAGCTGTTATGCTACCTGATCAGGTTGGTGTTTTCTTTATAGTCCGTAGACATTGTATGGGCAAAATTCAACATCTCGAGGTGGGCAAACATTTGGGGTATAAATATCCGATTTAATAGATGAAGTCAAATATACTAAAAGCTTCTATCATCTGAACGAGCTCCTATTCTAAACACCACCACAAAATTGAAAAACTAGCAAATAATATAAATATTGTAATTTATCTGCAGTATGAGTAAAATAAAACTTCTTTTAGTCAGATATATGTAAATGTTAACACTAGTATATACAATATTTAATCGTAAATGTTAACATTTGATAAGAATTAATAATAATAAATATAAGTTCAGTATACAGCAAAAATTTCCATACAGAAATGAACAATAACGCTTCAGTGTTATTAAAACAATGTTGTCAGTCAATTCAGACCTCAACAGCCCGGTTGAAATAAAAAAAAAATTTCCATTCTCTAGTATCATCTTGAATGTTTGTGGACATGAGATCTTTTCAAAAAATACATCATATAAATAATCATAATTTGACCTTCAACACGTAATGAATACTGAAACCTACTTGTTCAATTCATGATAACATAAAACACCAGTTTTACTTTAAATATATAGTCAGGGTACCGAAGACTCCGGGGTATAAGGCATCCGAAATACAGGATATACAATACAGTCCCTGTATATATATGTTCTGTCAATATAGAGGTTTAGGACAATTTATACCAGACTTTGAAAACTGATGTTTGCTTGAGTTAGTCTCAGTGTTTTAGATTGTGACTGGTGATTTGCCTCCCTTATTAAACAAAACAGTGTATATTTGTTTTATATGAATATTTCAAACATGTCAGATAAAGGCAAATAATCATGTCAATTATTATTAATACTTATCATCATCTTTATTCACAGAAAAATGATTAAAATAGCAGTCAAACATGGACCATTATGACTTATAATGACTTACTATTACCTTCACTTTGATCGAGCATTGGGGCCAACTCATTTTCAATACTTAACTTGACTTGTGCTTTCTCACTTTCTTTTTTCATTTTTTTATTTCGGTATATCTTATAGGCTGCCAAACTTATCCCTACAATAACAACTCCCACTCCGACACCAATTAATATAATGCCAGCTGGCGACAATGCTACGCCAGTTAAGGCTACAGTAGTAGCTGCAGCTACGGCTCCATTATGGAGGACGAGACCCCCGATCATTCCACCAACAACGCCACCAGCAACCGTGGCGATACCAATTTTCCCCACTCTCATAATCTTCTTTTTTTTATACCAAGACTCCAGTTGCTTCAGCTTATCTTCATTACCATTAAATTCTTTTTTCATCATTTTGTAGCAAATCTCCAGATCCATATAAAAGTGGGTCTAGAACAAAATATGAATGATACAAAATTATTAACACTAAGGCAAAACTCTATATTTTACCTATAATTAAAATATTCATAGCCATAAAAAATGTTGATTGCCTCGTGTAGACTAAAATAATAAATGGTTTTTAAATCTTCAATATATACAATATTGAACATATATCGATAAGTGTAATTCGAATTTTAAATATTTCTAAAAGAATTCGATTTTAATTGTGGTACAGTTACTTGGAAATAAAAAAGAAAAAAAAAAGTAATAAATAGATTATGTTTGTCCCCATTTCTGACAAACAGTTCCGAAGCAGTATACCGGCAGAGGTACTTGTGCGATTAGATTTACTTTTGGTTTTGAATACGAATGATGAGATAATAGGCTTATGTTTAGGTTGTACTTTGACCTATTTGTCCATATATGGTTGCTCATATTTGTCACGCTCACTTGACTGAGATGCCCCCATTGTTAAACAGAAGTTTTTGATGAATAGAAAAGTGAAATATCAGAAATACCATTAGTGGTGAAAGCAGTTTTCTAATTGAGTAATATAAACAAAAAAATGCTTTGGATGAAATACTATAAAGTAACGCCTATTTAGTTCCGTTAATTTTATATAATTTAGGGTTAATAAGTTAATAACCTACTGATCTATCAAATTCATAAACACATCTTTACATATGTTATATTTATTTACCTCTCCGCCAAGTTTCTTGTACATTGACTGGAAATTCTATAGAATAAATCAAAGACAGGTTATTGTAAAGTATAGATATACACAAAAATAAAGTTTTTCATCGATAGAAAATAAATTTTTTAATGACAAAACTGAATGTTAACTATTCAAAATCTAACACGCTTTGCTACTTGAAACTTGCATATCACACTGAACATAATGTAGGCCCGGAATGAAAATTTGTATGGTATTTAATGCTTGAGAAAGCATTTGAAGTTATATTAAGTATTTACATATTTAATTTATAAAGCTCGAGTGAAAAGAAAAACAATTAATTACCTTGAAGCCTTCCAACTCATTCTGAACATTGCGTAAATCTTTTTTCACGTCATTCTATAAAAATTGAATGTACGTTTGATGATATTTTATTTTGTGAAATACTAAAAAAATTGAGTTGTAGTAAAATTACTTTTAATTTAGAACCAGGGATGTATTAGGTATACGTATTATTGACTATCAGAGTAAACTATAGATATCTGGGTCGGGATTATTTTTATAGTTTGAGGTTTCCGTTGTTTGTGCGAATAGCAAAGTTAATTTTGAAAAATGAAAAATAGTTTTATTTTTTTAAAAGATTTAGGTTTTCTTAGGTAGGGCAAAAATGTGCAGGCAATTTTACGGCTATTAAATTAAAAAAAAGGTCCATTGTTTGAATTTTTTTTAAATTTGTGCATTCACTAATAACGTAAACTACTCACAAATTTTTCTTCTTGCTCTGCTATTATTTTAGCTTGATCTTTGACTTTTTCACCGAATTCCTCCTAATAAAATAAAAACCAAAAAAATGAAAAATAACAGCATTTTTGAACTCTTTATTTGCAATTAAAATTTTATTCTTTTGTGATAAGAATATTATTAAAATAATATTAAAAACACGTACTTGATATAACAGTGGTCAAATATTGACAGAGAAGTGCGGTCGATCAGCTTCGAATTTGGATTTAAAAAGCACCTTGCACTGCTATGAACTACGGTTTTGGCTTTTTTCAACATTTTTTTTTAAATAGAATATTTGATTATCAATTAAAAATTCGAGAGTGTATGATATGAAATACTCACCAACTTCTTATTTTGCTCTGCCATTATCCCAGCTTGATTTTTGACTTGGTTATTGGTTTCTTCCTAAAGAATTAATTAACGCGGAGTAGTAACAATAGAAAAGCTTTAAAAAATTTTGAACTGATTTAATGTTATTCACTCATATTCTTCATCAGATTAAAATAAAACTAATATTGGAAACACGTTCTTAAATTCAGTGGTTCTCAAACTTTTTAAGACGCGCCCCTGTTTTAGAAATTATCAAGTCTATGAACTATGGTTTGGGCTTTTTTCAACATTTTTGTTTTAAATAGAATATCTGATTATCTATTGAAAAATTCGAGAGTGTATGATATGAAATACTCACCAACTTCTTATTTTGCTCTGCAATTATTCCAGCTTGATTTTTGACTTGGTTATTGGTTTCTTCCTAAAAAATTAATTAACGCGGGGTAAAAATAAAAAAGCTTAACAAAAGTTTTAAACAGATTTAATGTGTTTTTGATCAGATTAATATTTAAACTAATATTGGAAACACGTTCTTGAATTCAGTGGTTCTCAAACTTTTCAAGACTCGCCCCCGTTTTAGAAATTATCAAGTCTAGCGCCCACCCCCTCAACCTGAAAAATAACTAGCTAACAATAAGCTACAAATAACAGATAGTAAAGCGAAGGTATGGTAATATCCAAAATGAGGAAATAAAATTTTCAAAAATAGGGCAGACAAGATCTTCACGCTCTCTCAAAAAATTGTATACGCCTCATCGTTTGAGAACCGCTGAATCTAGACATTATAGAGGTCGTATGTGATACAAAGAAATACCCTATAAATTTAAATACTCTACTTGTGCTATCGACATTATCAATAGTAATTGGTTTTGACGCCTATTATCTTAAATAAAAGAATATATAATTCAAAATTATTATAAAATGCTTACCAACTTGTTGTTTTGGTCTCCTATCAGTTTCTCTGTTTGCTTCTGAAGAAATAAACAACGCGGAATAAACCAATCAACCTGTTTCAAACTTTCGGTTTATGATTTAATTTTGTGATATCATAAAATACATATTTGTTGTATCTATCTCTGATGGAATCGGATCTATGGGAGAACAGAATTTTATAGGATTCCAATATATTAGTTTTAATAATTCTAGCGCTTATTTCAGATAATTTTATAAGCTCGAATTAGATATACGTCGCAAATATATCATCAAAATAATTATATATAAATAAAGATTCTTGATTTGTCAAAGTCATAAATACATGACTTTATACATAAATACATACATGATACATAAATACATAACTTTATTTGTTGCTTCCGAAGTATGCGAACCAAGATGGCGGACATCGGAACGTAACATGGGTAACAGGTTAGGGTTAGGCAATAAATTTTTCCAATTTTCTATATTTTAGTCCTATTATCAGTTCGAAGCTAGCCAAGAGCCTCCCGTAGTATTTATACCTAATATTATGGCCTAATCCTAACCTAGTACACATATTACATTCCGATGTCCGTCATCTTGGTTCGCATACTTCGGGAGCCCCCTTTATTTGCCCGGTTTTGTAGTGAAAAAAATTTTGATTGATTGCCAAAATGAATTTGATATTAACATTTGCGTACCGTAGAAAGACAACCGCATGAATTTCTTTGAAAAAACAAAATCACCAAGGGAAAGATAAAATTCTCACTTGGAATTTATTTATTTGCTCAAGCAATATTCTCAGCATTAGTTCACTTGCATCGCCGGACGGAGGAAGAATCGGCACAGCCATCTAAAATAATAGACTATTATGAATCCTTTGACATAAATGAAATAAATGTTGACATTTCAAGTTATATTATATTATATATAGCATATACCAGGCGTGGCCGAAACGTCGATCGCGATCGACCGGTCGATCTCCAGGTCTCGAGTATTTGATCGCGTCTGATGTTGAGTGAATTTAATAACATATCCCAAGTAATTACCTTGAACCAATCTCATGCTGAGCCTGTTGTGTGTTTTAAAACGGTACGTAATACAGTACTGTACATGTGCAAAATACGCCATAACATACAGTACTTAGGTTTGGCCAAGCGAGTTAGATCATATTTTCACGCCACAAATGCAAGTTTTTCCGCTGCCAAGGTTTAGAAATGAACTTGCCGAATATCGGGTGTCTTGAATGACGAACTATCCTACAATAACTTCTGACGTATTCTAAAAATATCGCCTCACTTCTATAATAAAGTGATAAAATTTTTGGCAACTGTAGTAGTTTGGGGGTCGACGAATTCTTGTGGCGATTTTTAGGAATGCGGCCAAAGAGTCAATTTCGAATTTTTTTGGATGCGTGTGTTCAGTTATCTGCATTCAATATTCATTTGTTTTTGTGCATGAACTTATAACCGATCAGTCGAACGCGAGCTATTTTGAAGATTTTAGATTTTGAAGATTATAGTCGATCGCGGTCGAAAGCAGGTTGACCACCCCTGGTATATACCAACAAATGAAATTATTGGTGATATTAATTTTTGATATGTCTTACATAAGTTTTATGTTGAAGATCAAAAACAAAAGACAAAGTGCCGAAAGCTTTCAATGAAACAAGCGGTGCACTAATTACATCATATTAAAATTAAAAGTTTTGATAAATACGAGACATACTTGAATCAAAGTTACCTCACTGTGTTTTCTATATATTATTAAACATGGAGAGGTGTCATATTTATTTTCCTTCCTTCCTTATTTATTTAATTTTCAAACTGACAAAAAATAAGTTTTGAATTAGGTGTAGATATGAATCGTTTTAAAATTGTTGTTGTTGTTGCGTTGTGCTGTGAAAATCAATTTTTTCACCACTACAGTTTGGATCAATGTCACATTTTGAACAAATTGATAAAAATTGAGTCTCATAAAGTTATTAATTCATTTTAACAGTTACTTTCATTGGTTTCGGTAGTAATACTAATTCCGCGAATATTGCTCCGTCAGATCTGTACGTCATTTTTTATCGTTTTTTAAAGTGATTTCTTGCTAATGATAACCTTATATAACAAAAATATCCTCACCTGATTGGTATGATTCTCTTCACTGGACAGCTTTTCATTTTCATTTTCATCAGTGTTCGACATAGTAGATAATTTTAAAATTTTTATATCAAATCTATACAAAAAAATGTCAAAATCATATTTTTAAATCTGATAAAACTGGTAAGGCTATTTTGAAAGATAATTTTAAAATAATTTTTTCAAGTTATATTGACAGACACAATTATGCAATTTTATAAAAACCACACAATACAAATTTCTTTGTTTGCTTTGTAAATTTCAGATGCCAGACTGATACACAAATCTTTGACTGCATTTATATACATTTCAGACCAGAAAAAAACATTTTGGGGAACGTAGCAAGTTTGTGTTTTACGAACATAGGTTTTCATTTTCTCTTTTATATTAGGTAAAATTTTTTTATTTTGGCGCTCCGGAGTATGTGTGCCAAGATGGCTCACAACCTGAACCCTAACCTGGTACACATACTATGTTCAGGTTGTGCGCCATCTTGGTACACATACTTCGGGAGAACCGTTTTTTTTATATTTATTCCGGATGCTATCAAACGATCATAATATAAATATGCCGGAATGACCACATGAAATATTACCATCAACCATAGTTCTGGATATTGGCAACCTATGCTAATACAAATATTAGATCATTCCTTGTAAATATAGATATAGATTTTATGCATAAATAATTTTTTTCGAAATAAAATGATTTCTGTTTATTCACTTGACCCTGATAAGTGTTATCCTTGTTAATAATTTGTTTCTTTCCGTATATAGACTAGATTTTGTTATAGGAACCCGTTGAATTAGTTTTCAAAAAAGCGCCTAATGAAGAATTTTAAATCGCCATATCCGATTGGATTCACTTGTATATATTTAAGATTACAACTTTTAATACTTACACCAGCGCATATTATAAAAATTTCTCTCGCCTATCATTGCAAATAATTTTCATTTCTTCCCAAATCAGGCTGTTTCTAATTTCACTTGAGTACTCACTCTATGTGCAGGCACTGGAATATTGATCTTTGCTTTAATACAAAGGAGCAAAATAATACGCCTACAGAATGACTGCATAACGAAACCACGAGATCATATTATTATTACCACCCACTTCCAATATATTATCGAATATGGAGAATACTGATAAAATAATGCAAATTTCTGAGTAAATTACTGTTTTTGGGCATGTTAAGTTCTTGAAAATAAATACTGACCTTTTCTCGAGGCAGGGAAGTGTGGCTGGCTTCATGATGTCAAATTATGTTTAACTGCAGAGAATATAAGGCTCTATTTTATCATATCGTACTAAAGTTCTTTCATCTCTTTTAAAGGGCAATGCGTATGACTTGAACTATGGTATATATATTACTGAATATGGCTTATAAGTATGCATTATGTGCTGGGCTTGATGCAGTCCGGCGCATGTCTGTGATTCACCTTGAATAATAATTAGTGATTACTAATTCATGCAGTTCCTTATTTCTCACGTCACAATAACCTATGACTACTTATTGAGACCACGCGTTAAATACCGTGGGCAGTTATACACAATAACGTCTTATAATAAAATAAAATAAACGAATTGTAACGAATATAGTACCATAGGTATATACCATAGGTATAGGTATAACATTAACTTTCACCTAGCAATGGAACATTATTGAAGAAGATATCTATGCACCGCGTGCATAGCCGAGATTTGTAAAATTAAAATATGTCCTAATGTACTGACCAACCTACTGCATTAATCGAAAGTGATCTTCCATCGTTAATTTGTTTGGTTGTTAATATTAAATCATTTGGTTTAGTCGAGGACGAATATTATGTATCAAAAGTTGCTCGAATTTGGTCGGAATAACCATAAGATACCATATTAATTTGAATATTAGATGGGTACATTCAAACGATTGTTTATACACATGTTACACCTAAAAAGTATTTTTACATGCAGTCACTGCCATGCAAAGAGATATCTTGCTACGCAACCACAGTAGACCGCACTGTCATTTTGGTATTTTGTTTTACGTTATGCACGCAAAGTTCAGGGACTCCTAAAATTATATTCGTAGACTGCTGACTACTAATATTATTATCACTTGGTAATATATCTAATTACAGTTAGGTAATCCTATATAAAAGGATATGAAGTACTGTAATTGATATATTCATTTATAAATTCCGTTGACTGAATTCGGTTATCGTGGGTGTCAGTCCTTAGAATAAGTCCAAAACAATCACGACCGATGCCAGTAGCGCTTCTATTTTCGATGTTTTCTAAAGCCTTTCACTCTCTTGATTATTACACGACCGTGAATACACACACCAAGTTTGTTTCAACGCTACCATTATGTTACTACATATATTATAAATATCAATTATGGCCAGGGATGAGTTGCAGATATACATAGTCCAACAGCTTCGTGACCCATTGTTGGTATTATAACACTAAATTAAATAATTGATTAGTTGTAATAAATATGGTTAATTAGTAATCAAGCAATATCGGTCAATATTACTTTAATGCCACCACATAACTAGAAAACTTCTCAAATATTTTTTTGCTGAAAATGTTTGATATTTGGTATTTTTGTAGATATTTTAATACCAGGGACCACGACATAAATATATGAGAATTGAAAGTCTTTATTCCAGGAAAGCAGTGGTTCGAAGGCATGTATCGGAGCAACTATATATTCCCTTTTTTAATAATTACGACTGCATTTATTTTTACTTTAACAAAGATACATTCCTGATTTGCTAAATAATACAATACATGCACGATAACCTTCTGTTTTGATTAACTCGTTGAAACCATTACCTTTCTTCCCCGAAAAAGTGTCTGCGGTGTTGTTTACGTCTATATATTAAATCGCGGTATATTTCCACTTAATAATGCGCGCATTTTTGTAGGCAAGCTGGATTGGACAAACGTATATCTTGTTGTCTTGTTGGACACTAAGACATCCTATTGAATCGTTCTTCGCTGGCGTTGTTGTTGTTGTTAATATTGTTACCCTGGTAATATTTTTCTAGTTGTTGTTGGTGTTTTGAAAAAATATCACTTTCTCCTTAACTACTGGACCAATTGCATTGAAATGTTCAATGCCTAAAGTTTGCATATGCATATACAGGTAATTCCATATGCATATACAGTCCAATTAGATTTATATGGGGACAACCAAATATTCATTTGTCTGTTGTATTTTGTTTGCCTGCATAACTTACGTTTTATTATAAGTTACCAATATCTAAGATTATTCTTTGAATCACCATTTGTACCCGGATGAGTGATAATTATTCCTATTTGTTTCAGTTTATTTAATAAATTGCGAATTGCGCTGTTGAATGTTGTCTCATCGGAATTTGATCACTCGTTTTAGGATATCGTTGGATACTTCAACACATACAGTCCATGTAACCTTTACCAAAACGCCAAACCTCAACGCAAAAGCACAGTTTAATTTACAAAATTTCAATAGTTGATTGTATTGAGAAATGTACTGAGAGTTGAGTTTTAATGAAATTTGGAATATCTTATCTGTCATTTCGGTACTCCCGTAGTGTGTGTACCAGGTTAGGGTTAAGTCATGATATTATTCTGATCTTCTTTATTTTAGTTCTATATCGAGTTCGGGGACTGTCTTTGTTAGCCAAGTGAATATACTCCCTGCCCACAGGCTTCAGTCGCTTCACAGAATTTAATGTGGAGTAGGCGAACCTCCATATTGGTACACACACTTCTGGAGCGCCTTCGTTTCAATTCAAGATATTGTCAGTAAAGTTTATGATTTTAAATACAGCAGCGCCCGTGCAATGTAATTCGATTTCCTAAAAAATGTTGCGTAACACTGCAGGTCGGAATGGTAAACATTGCCACCTACAATAATCTACCCCGATCTAGTTCGTGTGCAGAATGAGGTGAAGTCCCAGGTTTCGGCAATGGGTTTTATGTAATAAATACATAAACCTAACAGGTGGACCCTTTATTGACCCTAGACAGAGTTTGGGCAAAATTGATGGTGATATAATTTGATGTTCTAAAAACTTCCACCACCGGCAGAGTCAATTAGTCACATTTTTCGTAAATAAATAGTTCACCGCGCTACTTTTCCCCACTTAATAAGAAATAGATAACTCACAAACAACATAAATAATATCGCACTATATTCTTTATGATTAAACTAACAATTTTGATCATTGATATGTACATAATTGCCAATACTTGTAATGAAAGAAATAGGTTCAATATCGCATAATCAAGATTAATATTGCTCATAATGCATTGTGAAAAAAATACTGAGGTATATAAAGAAACCACAAAATCAGCTTGACTGAATAGCTCTCAGCGTTTGTTTGACTTGAGACTTTGTTTGAACATTTTGGGTAATAGTATAATTATAAATTTCAAAGGTGTCTGCACAAAGACTAATAAAATTGCCAATTATTGTTGAAAATTTTGATGTTAATCAAAGGTTTCTTTTTTACAGGGAAAGTGATTCGAGTGAGAGTTATGCCTCGTAAAACATAGCATTAAATTGTGCACCATTTTCTTGATTGATGCTCCGCAGCGATTTATTTTTAATGCTTACTTGGTTTTGAGCATCTTCGCGTTTTATTTTTCTAAATCGTTATGCCTTATAGGCTGCCAAATATATACCTACCATAATAACTCCCGCGCCAACACCGAGTAATATAGCGCCAACTACCGGGATGGCAATGACGACCGCGGCGCAAGCTGCAACCACGGCTGCGCTGTGAAGGACGAGACCACCCACCATACCCCCAACAACACCGCCACTAATCATGGCAATTCCAACCTTGGTGATTTCATTCTTCTCTTGTTTTGATACCAAGCTCCCAACTGTTCCTTCTTTTCAGTGTCGTCTTTGAATTCTTTTTCCATCAAATTGTAGCAGTGAAGTACGCATTTTATTCAAGAAAGGCGGTCAAAAGGTCAGATAAAATTACCCTACAATTCAACACTTTTTGGTTAGTCTGGGGTATAAATAGCAAGACTTGACTTTTTGACTAACGATAGAGAAATTCCCAAGTGGTTATGGTCACAAAAATCCCGTGTTGCCGATATCAGGGTAGCACTATAAGGCCGTATCATGTTATCTGAGCACCAAGTTTGCTGGAAAAATCGGTTACCAAGAGTCACTGAATACAGTTTTCTCACGAATCAAATTAAAACAAGAAAATTTTGGGTATAGTATCGGCCTCTAGTACTAGAGAGAATTTAAAAAAGGGAAAAGATTCATATATCCATTTCTTCCATCTTCAACGACTGAAGGTTTTAATTCAATTATACTGTATTAAAATTTGAATGTGCATTTGTTGCGAAGAAAGGCGACAACAACAACAACAATTCAACAAAATGATCTACATGTGCACATCGAGCCCAATAATTAAGGAACTTAAAATACGCTATTTGCCCACTAACAATGCAGACCAGCTATATAACCAGGCTTGTCCACGGGAAACGTCCCATGGATTTCCCTTGGGAAACGTGGGACACGAAAACCGTATGATTTTCGCGGAAATGATGGTAAAACAATTTGTTATGTGGACTATTTATTTGTCAGCAACGCAGAATTTGGATCTTGGTATCCGTTACCAATATTCAATATTTTGCTCTGAATTCCCATTTGTACCCGAATGAATGAGAGAAATTCCTAATTGTTTTAGTTTCTGTTGAATCTAGGCTCAAGGGAATTATATAACTCGTTAAGATATCGTTAAACTATATTTCTTGTAAGCCTTGCAATTTAATGCAATTTAAATAGTTGATAGTGTGTTGAGAAATACGCTCAGAGTCGAGAATGGCTGCTGAGAGAATTAGTCAATTTAAACCGTACTCCCGAAGTATGTGAATCAAGATGGCGGACATGGCAGATGGCGTGTACCAGGTTAAGATTAGGCCACAATTTTAGGTATAAATACTACGGGAGTCACTTTGCTAGTGCTCGAACTCGTAATAGAACTAAAATAACGAAAATTGGAATAAAATTATGGCCAAACCCTGACACAAACTATGTTCCGGTGTCCGCCATCTTGGTTCTCATACTTCGGGAGTACCATTTAAATTTAGTACATAATATTCCATGGAATATGGGAAATGATCTTAATAAAATCGGGAATATCTTCTTAGTCATTTCAAACCGCGATATTGTTAGAGAAGTTCGTGATTTTATATACAGCAGCGCGCATGCAATGTAGTCCCATTACCTAAAATATGTTGCGTAATACTGTAGGACGGAATTACAAACAGTACTATATCTACAACAGTCTACCTCGATCTAGTCCGGGTGCGGAATTCGGTGAAGTCCCTGGTTGTGGCAAAGGGTGTTATGCATTAAATAACCTGATATAGTTGGTTAGCTCTTTATAGTCCGTAGACAAAGTGCAAAAAATTTACCTTCTTCACAGTTATGTGGACATGACATGGGGTATAAAAATCTGAATAATGGAATAATGCTGTAATCAGATATTCTAAAAGCTTTCATTTCCTGCAGCGTGAATTAGCGTAAATTAAAATTATTAAATAAGTAAATAAATAGTTTACCGCGCTGCTTTTCCCCAATTTGAAAAAAATTGAATAACTCACAAATAACATGAATTATAATGCACTTTATATTTATAAGTTAACGAAAGATTCCAATAATATGTACATAAATGACTATACTTTATCTAAAGGAAATAGGTTTAATATACCATAATCAATATGAATATTGCATATTCATAATTGATCATAAGAAACTCTAAAATACATATAAATTTCTAAGTGGGTACTGGCCAGGAAATATTCTTCAAACCCTTTCAAATAATAATGTGAAATTAAAATATTAGATAATTTTCAAGCACGTAGCATAAAAGCTAATGAAACTGCCAATTATTGTTGAAAATTTTTAATGTAATCACTTAGTTCTTTATTCACATGGAAAATGATGTAAAGGCAATTCATGCTTCATAAACCTCAATTGCATGGGGCAATGCACTATTATCTTGATTGATACTTTCTAGGAAGATATTTTTAATTATTTCTGGATTTTTAGCATCTTGTCGTTTTATTTTTCTCAATCGATATGCCTTATAGGCTGCCAAACTTGCGCCTACCCTAATAACTCCCGCACCAACACCGAACAATATAACGCCTGCTGGTGATAGAATCAGGGCACAAGATGCAGCTACGATTGTGGCGTGGAGAAGAAGACCTCCAACCATTCCCCCAACAATCCCACCGCTAATCATCGCAATGCTAACTTTGGTGATTTTCATTTTTCTTTTGTTTCGATACCAGGCTTCCAGCTGCTTCAACTTTTCTGGGTCGTCTTTGAACTCGTTTTCCATCAAATTGTAGCAATGCTCGAGCTCAATGTAGAAATGAGTCTATGAAATAATAACAATAACTGATAGTATATATATGATCTGGTGAAGTAGAAGCATTATGAAAAAATTTCAAGCATTTCTAAATTCCCGCTGTAATAAATGATTCTTAAAGGCGTGTTTTTAGTTTTTTAATGGAAAATGACATATGAGGTCTGATCTGGTAAAGAAAACTAATTGTTATTGAGATATATGCCAGCTTCAAAGAAAGTAGGTTGCCCCTCGTAGGAAACCAAAGTAAATCTAAATTAACCCGACTCGTTCTCAGTACATTGTCTTCATTATCTTTTTATGACAAGGTCAAACATACGATGGCAACGATATGTCTATGATAGATGAAAAACAACTAATTTTTCAAAATTTTTGTTCATCCAAACAAGCGTCTGTGGTTGAAGAAGTTGAGTAGAGTGGGAAGGGTGGTTCGTATATTAAGACCCTATAGCCTGCACATTCAGTCAACATTTCAGTACTAACGCAGAATGGGGTAAATGTATAGTTGTATAGTTTTTACTCAGCGATTGAGTATTACCAAGCGGCACACATTTTGTCACCAAAATAATTTGAAAAATGCTTGTCAAATGTTCCCCTGTACCCCAGTGGTGGGTCACATTCGGACACACCCTGGTGCACAGTGGGGGAGTTCATTAATCTCAACAAAATATGCAGCTATAAAATAGCAATAAATCAGCATCATCATCTAAAGAATTGTGGGAATTCAAGTTTAGAAGTTTACTATTTTTCAAATTAAAACCCAAATATTTCAAATCTTTTTTCAAAAATTCCAAAAAATTCTAAAAACAAAATTTCCGCATTGGCAACATAAAATCATTTTGGTGACATACGTATCTAATTAGGTTGTCATTTTAGAAGAACCTAATAAATATTTTAGTTTTTTTTTTCAAATCTGAAATGAATTCATTGCTTTACTTTTGGATTATGTCTAATTTGAAGCAATCGAAAATGAGTTCCATTCTCAACAATGGCATTTCTTTGTTAATTTAAAAGGGTCAAAATCGTCAAATACAATTTTTATTTTTATTTTCAAATTTAATCTGACTGCTCAAAATAAACAAATACCGCAAGTGTAATTTCTTCAATTACGTCCACCCCTCAAACAGAAGGGGAAACGTGGCCCTGTAGGGTAACGATGTGAATTATTACGTCGGTATATCTTGTTTTGAAATTTTGGGACGATTATGGTGTTACAGTTTATTGATAATATATGTCATTTAATCTCATTTGTATATACATTTGTTATTGAAACTTCGTCTTCGTATATTTGATCAAGGCTTTAAGTTTAAGAAAGGAGTTATGTCAAGTAAAATCGAAGCCGTATTAGATTCCCGGATACCAAGTTAATAATTGAGTGCCCGGACTATGTGAACCGAGATGGCGGACACCGGAACGTAGTATGTGTACCAGGTTAGAGTTAGGCCATAATTTTAGTCCAATTTTCATTATTTTAGTTTTATTAAGAGTTCGGGAACTAGCCAAGTGACTCCCGTTGTATTTGTACCTGAATTTATGGTCTAAACCTACCCCTGGTACGCATACTACGTTCCGGTGTCCGCCATCTTGGTTCACATACTTCGGGAGTACCAATGATTGAAAGCTAACAAATGACATAGGTATTTACCTCGCCTCCATACTGTTTATACATTGACTGGAATGTCTGTAAAGTAAATAAAAAATAAGTCATTCAAGAATATATCTATGATTACGCAAGAGACAACAAAAGACTTGGCGAGAAATAATGGCCAAAAGTGACAGAGCAAGTGTTAAAAATTTTAACTCGTTTTGCCCCTTAAAATTTCAAGATTAAATTTTACAAGCAGGATTCAGGTTTTGAAATTCTCTTAATTAGACTAAATGTTTGGGATAGTGTTAAATGAAGAATTTATTGGGTGATTTAAAAATAAAATTATGGACAACTTTAAAGATCAAATATTGCAACTCGTTATAGTTAAATGTATTCCCCACTCTTAGACTTGACTTATCATAATTTGTGTCTTGAATATTTAAAAAAGATTAAATGTAAAATTGACAATTTTGAATTTTCGGATCTTGCATGAGAAAGCAATTACCTTGAAGCTCTCCAATTCACCCTGAACGTTGCATAAGTCCTTCCTGACCTCTTCCTATAGAAATGAACATTTTGTATCATTTCATTTTGTAATCACTGCGCACAGCAAGAAAATTTACCTATTATTTTAGTATATATTTGTGTATGATACGGTGTATTATGCTTCAGATGGGATAAAGATATTTGGTTCTATAGAGAATATAGATGGTTTTTGCTGTATAAGTACATTACAATTAGTACTGAACTATACAGATAAAACGTTTACTTTTGATATAGCTATACAACTTGTTTTTTCATAATTTTTAAAAGAATTATATTAGCCAATTTCATAAAAGGTGATAAAAAAGTCTTCCAGGAAAAAAAAGTTATTGATCATAGAACAATCGCTATTAGGCCACAAGTAATTCTGGATAATTTATAATTTTTCATATAGTTTAGCAGTAACTTTAACAGGTCACATGTGCTGTTCGGAAAAAAATTCGCGGTGAATATTCAATTCAGAGCATCACCTACATGTTGCAACTACTCACCAATTCTTTCTTGGTCTCTGCAGTTTTATTCGTCAATATTTTGTTGGCTTCATTCTGACAAGAACAAAAAAGTGTGGGTTAGTAATCAGTATTCATGTAGTATAGTGTGCGTCGTTTAGTTTACTGACCGGCAGCCCTACCCATACCCTACACATTGTTTGTGTGACAAGTATAAATCGAGATTCATAAGTGTACGTCATACAAGGTGACACACACAAAAAAACGGAACCCCAAAATTTCATAATTATATACTTCCGTGAAAATGGAGAAAAGTGTTTGATTTTATTAACACTTCAACTTCTTTCTGTTTGTTCATGACTGTACCCAAAGTTTTGGGAATCTAAGACGTTTTGCACAGAAGTTATGTTTTCTCTCGAATATGTTCCTAATCACCTCCTAAGCATAGGAGACAGGGTTGTATGAGGTGCGCAAAATTGTCAATCACTCATTCAGTTTTCTGCTAAGTGCACTTTCGGCTGCCTGGGTATGTAAATGGCAAAAACATTGATTACCTGGGTGCAACACCTCCGAAAAAATTCTTACAGAGAGCGTAACATTCAGTATAGTGCGCAGCATGGGAAGCCATTTTCCAATATTGCACAACTAGTCAATATTGATTTGAAGACGGAAATCAAGCGGTGAAAATTGAACAATATGTGTCGGTGATGGGAAAATGCTGGGCATCCTCTGGACAACGTAGAGGAATTGATTGAGTTGATTAGAGGTTACAGTAAGATCCCGCCCCCCCCCCCCCCCCCCCCCCCTCTCACATATCAAACCACGCCCTCGACTGTCTAAGAGAGCGATTTCAGAAAAGATTGATCATCAGTGTGTGATGTCGAATGGGCACCTCAATTTTTGGACTTGAACACCAAGATTTTTATCTGTTGGGGTATTTGAAGGCCAGACAATGTGTATCATACCATTTCCCAAACAATTGTTGAATTCAAAACTAGAATTGCAACAAAAATCAGAAAAATCTCCATAGAGAAGTGTGTGTGAGTGATTTGACGATTTTGCTCAACGCATGCAATTCTGTCTCCTATGTGTAGGAGGTAATGCCTAGGGAACATAACTTTCGTGTAAAGCGTCATAGATTCCTGAAAGTTTCGGGTCTAACCATGCTCGAACAGAAGTTGAAGCATAAATAATATCTAATGATTTTTTTCATTTTTGTAACAGTTATTAAAAACATTATGAGTTCCGTTTTTTTGTGTCACCCTGTATCTGCTAATTATCGTCACTGCGTAAGCCAAATTAGCACGACGCTAATGTTAAAAGGCTGGCAAAAATTGGCATATTGCGAAGAAATCATAGCCTAACCTTGAGCACATTTTAACAACAATAGTCTGTTCGTCAGTCAATTGACTGTTCGTCAAATTTACAATATTTACCATCATGTGCCATTGTGTAAATTCTATTTCTTCCTTTGTCTTTGTTTTTATATAAAACATGGTTAGGGGGCCATTTTAAAACGTATTATCCATCGGTCCACAAATTTAATTGCTTATTTGTGATGGAAAGAAATATAACAATGTTTAACACAAACTTTGTTTCTGGCCCCTAACTATTATTTTCCCGTTGGTTACACCCAAGATCTGAGAAAAAGGATATTGATTTTTTTGAATTTGGGGTTTCAGAAAATTGGGTGAATACTCTGAAATCGGGATTTTGGCGTAAAACAGCGTAAAACCTTCCAGTATTGCATAGTCTGGTGATATTTTTAGTGTTTTTAATATTCCAGAGAAATGTTGCTTGCATTCTATGTAAAAAGTCCTAAAGAAATCAATTTGAACACATTTCAAATAATTCAATTAAGTTAAGGACTAAAAATTTATCAAAAGGGGATTTTTTCTAAATTTTCAAATATATAGTCCAAGTCGATTTCACGAATAGACCCCTATATGTAGTCACCATCGTTTTACTGCCATTGGTAACGAACGTTTACGATCCAATTATGCGGTAATAGTGTCTACAGGGGCAAATTTCAAATGTAACATTGATATCAATAGTACAGTTGTAAAATTTGTAAAGTTAAACTGTGTGTCTCTACTATCCTAATGGCAAAATCAACATGAAGGTTTTGTTAAGTCACTTTGTAATCCCATCAGTAATTACACCATACCTAGGACTCCAAATAGTATTCTCTAAAATCAGAGAAATGGATTGGTGCACATTGTAATCAGAGGTTTCATACTTATCGGTTTGGGCACATTTAAAAATAGGTTACATATACTAAGTATTGAATGAACTCATTCTCTTTGCGACCCCATTGTGTGTTTAGCAAATTTGTAAAACAAGAGGTTACACAGAGAAAATAGTTTCGTATTTTTCCAAAATCGTACTTATTCTTTTTGTAACGTAAATCTCTTAGTAACGTACATTCGTTCTTGAAATTCTACGAGTATTCTTAAGCGAAAGGGCGTATATACGGGACGTGTCAATTTTTTTTTAAATCTAAAGTTCAATTTTAATTTAAAAATAATAGCCACTGAAAGTTTTAAAGCAATCGGTCCAGTAGTTAAAGAGAAAAGCATTTTTTCACAACATAAATACCAACAACAAGAAGCAGAATACTAACAGCAACAATAATTCAACAAAACAATCCAGTCCAGAGGTCCAGTTTATGGCCAATACCGTAAATATACGTCCATTGAGAAGACAGTGTTCAAAGTGCTCAGTAACTATAATGTTCGTTGTGCAACTTACCAATTCATCTATTTGCCTGGCCATCTCTGAATTACAATCTTCCTGCAAAACGCAAATAAAATGGAAGTGAGAAAGATTTGAATCTCAAGCGCAATAATTATTTTGTCCAATTTGAAATCGATATTGGGATTTGAAAATTTGAGAGTGATATATTTGAAATGAAATACTCACCAACTTTTTTTTCTGCTCTGCTATTTTTGCAGCTTGATCTCGGAATTGTTTTTTGATTTCCTCCTGAGCAAAAAATAACGCAAAATAAAATTTTAAAACACAGGAGACTTTTATATTGCGTACCCTTGGTTAAAACAAGATTCGATAACATCCCGATTTTCAAGTGCTCAAAATTCTGATGAGCTCAAATTAGATCACTCCTTATGCAGAAATTAAAATAAAATAAATATAGTATTAAAAGAGAAATAAGAGTGAGAAATTAAACGTGAAAATGTTGAAAAACTTTAAACATATTTTATTCTTAGACTATAATGAGAAAAACTTCTCACTTGTAGTGTATTCATTTGTACAAACATCATCTTTAGCATTTCTTCGTTTCGCGTATCACTTGACGGAGGAAGAATCGGAAGAGTTTTCTAAAATATTCGAATATTTTATTTTTTAAATCATGATCAAAGTAGGGACCGCAAACAAAGGAAAACTTTTCCGATAAGTGTTCATGCTAGGTAATATTAAAATATAACTGTAAGTATAATGTCTCATTTTGAAATACAAAAAGCATCAAATGCGCTCAAAAGTGGTAATTACTTATCGATCTCTATCGGTCTCTATCGATGTTGATAGGTATTTGTCTGTTTGTTTGTTTAACTTTCGTATGTTACGCAATTTCTCACGGAAGCGAGGTTGAATGTGCTCGAAATTTTGCATGTGCATTCATCATATTTCGAACCAGAAGCCTATTGATTTTAAATGAATTATGTCGTATAATTAGCGAGTTATTGATTAATTAGTGATGGGACACGCGGTGTCGCTATTGAGTCAAAGCGAAGGAATTGAAACCGCAGATCGATAAGTCGGTGGTCTCCGATCGCTATCTATTTACCTTATTATTCTATTTTAATGACTATGAAATATGGTTGTAATAGCGGGATAATATTAAAATTGGAATACTGTCTAAGGAGAAAAATTTCTCATTGTTTTTGTGTGAATTTTGCTAAATGCAACATAACTGGAGCAACATAGTCTTAGATGCTATCGTTTTTAAATGAATTTTTATTTGATGTCTTGATTATGTGCCTAATTTATTCTTCCAAGCGATAGCCTATTTATAATTCGAAAAATCTTTACCTGATTGTCCTGACTTTCTCCACCCGGTGGCATTGCATTTTCTACACGATCGACAGAGTTCAACGAAGCAGCCATGGTACTAAGGTAATCTAAAAGCCTACATGGACTCTACAAAGAAAACAAACTGCAATATTTTAATAAAACAAGGCTATTTTAACAATGTGATATCAAGTATATTTTAAAAATTAAACATCTCAAACAATAGTCACAGTAAACTTCAGTTTGCAAGCTGACTGTTTCCCAATGACACAACTAAACTCTATTGAGCTCATTATGAATTTCGCCACGCATGTGCAAGCTTATAAATTTTCAAATATAATGAAAGAGTCTCAACTGCACTCAATTGCGTGACACGATAAGTCCATTTTTTTGTTCTTTTCATATGTGTTGAAGTATAATGATACCAACCTAGTACTTTTCCATTCACCCCCACGTCATATTTGATAAACAAAAGAAATATAGGTTACGACTATGCCTATTTACAAACTGAAGTTATGTTACATAATCGTATATTATGCTTTATGGGATGGGGAAATATTATAAATATTTTTGTTGAAACCTTCTTAAATTTTAAATGAAATCTCTCTATGTTTCTTTTTCATGCAAAAAGTCGTCGCCCAAAATAGTACCGCGGCCCTGCTATTTTATAGCTTAGTACTCACGTTGCAACAAAGCTTCTTTATGGACAATTCATATTTTATTGTTCTTTAGAGTGCCCTTAAGTCAATCTATCAGCTGGAAATATGTTACGAACGAATACGGATAAATTGACACAAAAAAACGCACCAATAATATCATTATAAAATCCGACGATGTCCATTTTTGTGCCAAATGGTGCCCTGCAAATTCGAACAACAAAACCTCGGGGATGAGCACGTGCTGTTCAACAATTATTTAAAGTTACTAAATAACAATGCCCGCCTGTTGCGCACCCTGGCTTGGACTAAAATTAAATATTCTATCTTTTATAATAGATTTAGGTTTAGGTCTTTTGTGGATGAAGGTAGAACATTTGGCATTTATTAAAATTTAATTGCCAATCATGGGAAAATAAATAATATCTTTGCCTGTAGTAAATGAACCATTTGGCGAAATCTGATTATGTTATATTTATGTTATATTAAGGATAATAAAAGTAATTAAACTGTCGAGTCTAAAGCGGTTAGCGAAATAGAACTGCCAGTAAGTGAATGGACAAAAAATCAGACTCTAAGCCAGTGTAGCTAAATTTATATTCAAAGGACATTTAATTCTCTTGCTAATACGCAGGCCAACTTTCATAAAATTACGAAATTTAATTGTTGTATATGGTTTCAGTTCAAGGCTAATCAATGCAATTTATTCGTTTGAGCCTAAAGGAAGGGTTCTGGGAATTAATTTTTAGACACGGAGTTGACCTATGATCATGGGTCATTTTCATATATTGTATATTTCATTTCTTGTTGTGAAAAATCTCTTTTTTCTACTGAACCAATTGCTTTGTCATTTTTAGTGGTTGAAGATTGTATTTTCCTCTAGAAGGCTATTTATTATTTTCATTTATTTCAACAATTCCCATGGCCTCTAAGTGTTTCGTTTCTGGTGTGCGATGACGTCATCAAAATTAAAAAAATGGAGATTTCATAGGCGGTTTGCTCTTGCGTCAGCGATCTTATGGTTCGGCAAAGTCGTGAACACTGCGGGTACGGGTAGGCTACCGTGATAGACTGTATACACGTACTACTTCGTGTTCTTATATTTGAGCATCGCTCTCTTGTTTTTAACACATTAGTAAGGGATGACAAAATCTAGATAATAGCAAATTATGTACGTGAATGGCTGTACAACTGTGATATTTGTAAGAGATACATTCGAATTTGGACTTCTGGTGACAATTAAATATTTAAGATCTAATATTGAACATTACAATGTACACAACGTTGTCCCTCGACGCTCGTGTTATAATCGATTTCTTTGTGTCGGATTTTAACGTCATCCACGAGAATAAGAATATTATAATGAAATAGTAATCCGAATTATTATGTTCGCATTAACTAAAACTACTTCAAGTCTTGCGTCAATTAGTATTTACCATTGTGTAGTCCCATACTACAATTCTCTATAATGTCAATAGTGATAGGTCGAATAAAAGTTTATTATTAACGTAAATAACTCATACAGACATAGTACATGCTCAACATATCATCGAGAACAGACTGTCTATTTACAGTTGAATGAACAGTATTTATACTAGTGACTAGATTCATGGGAAACTGTTGAACTATCAATTAACTCTTGACATTTCAGTGTCCGCCAGCATCTTTCCCCGGGATTATTCGCTTCAAATTCTGACTGATTTCTCGCGATTTGCTTTGGGATAATATCAGTAAAAAGCATACGCTTTCCCAGCGAGCAACCGCAAATAGGCATTGTTTAATATGCCTAAATATCTCAATTTAATCAGTATCGTAATTGGCATCTCGTTGCATAGAGTCGCATATTCATTATTTAAAAGCATGTGACATATGACGCCATTATTGGGTTGTTTTACTTTCGCATGTCGCCATGATCCTGTAACCTCCAGGATATTATATTTTATCACCTCGTAAACTTAGTTTTCAATTTTTTGATCTAAAACACAAGAATTATTCTCGATCTAGTATGGGCCAAATTTCAACGGAACAAAAGAAAATTTCAATCAAAACGGCTTTTGTGTAATACTACTTGAACAACATATTGTTTCATTTCTACGAAGTATATCCAGTATAAGCTAAATTATGGTGAGATTATATTGATTACCCCAAACTGCTTAAGAACAAACGGCAGGTAATTTCTAGATCTGGCTACGAATCAGATAATGTTTGTAAATAAGTGTTTAACAGGAATGATATTTCCATATTCTCGTTGCAAATTCTTGATAGTCAGCCAGTTCCTATTCAAAATTTTTATAGGCGAGTGAAGTGCCTCATTCCAAACTGTGGGCCTGCCGGCTTGCTATATCAATTCATGTCCTTCTACTTTTTTTGAATTATTAAAAAGAAAATCATTTCATTCGTTTTTGTTTGTATCCTACATCGTTTTGTCATTTTCCCGGCTACTTACCTTGATCTGCAAAATGTATACTTCATTCGGAACTAATAAACCAGTACTTCCAACTCTTCAAACAGAAAAATATTTATGAAACATCAATTTTTAGTATGCCCTTTGTGCGTACACATTGGGCTTGGTCATTTTATGAGGACTTCAATGCAAATATTAAGCTAGGCAATTCAATATTTATTGTATTGTATTCCGACTTTGTAAATTATGCTATATTCTTAACGAATAATCTGAGAGAACACACATTTGTGACTTGATAAAATTGAATCAAATTTTGGCCAATTATTACTCCTCGGTTTTATAATCGGTCAAGAAGTTTCAAGATAGTTGCTTGAGCCCCAATATTCGTTATTAATATTTCTGGGTCTAAAAGTCTACAACGTTCATTTTTTTTTAAATATACTTTATTGAATTGTTAGAAATGACATAAGCATGGGCATTTCATTCTGTTTCGTAGAGTCTATGTAGGCCTTTAATATAACTAAGTACAATGGCTGCTATATTGAACCCTGTCGATCTTGTAGAAAACGCAAGTGCACAAGATGGAAAAAATCAGAACAACCAGTCAAGTATTTTTTTTGAATAGTAGGCTATAGCTAGGAAGAATATATCAGACACATATTCAAGACACGATTATGGTGCTCTAGCTATGTTGCTCTCATTGAAATATTTTTTGTTATGTTCAATTTAAATATCATCCCGCTTTTACAACTATTCTTGATAGTGATTAAGATGAATGATATGGAAGCTCATATTATCAGAGTGTGTTTCGTCATTTGTGAAATATTTGAATGAATGTTTTGAAATTTGGGATTTATCTGTTCTATTCGCAATTTTTACATTCCTTTTGCACAAAGATGAAAATAGTTTCATAATTTGAAAATAATGAGACATTTACACGTTCAGTTTTAACAAATGATTGAAAAAATTTTCTCCCTTCATTTGGTCGTGATTTAAAATAATCGAATATTTCAGAATGCTTTGCCGATTCTCCTCCGGCTGGTGATACACGAAATGAAGAAATGCTAAGGATCATGTATAAATAAATAAATAAACTACAGGTAAGAAATTATTTTCAATTTAATCCAAGATAATATTATTATATGATTTTCGAAATTTTTACGTTCAATTTTTCACGGGTATCCCTATTTTTATTCTTATTTTTTTTTATCTATTTTCTAAATTTTGTCTATGGCTTATATCTAATTTAAGCTCAATAAATTTTTTAAACAAAGTATTGGAATTTTGTTCCAAAATAGAGGACGCCTGTATATCCGATCCGACAGGTATATTTTCTAATCCCAATATCGATGTTTTCTATTCGACAAAATGATTTTTGTGCCTAAAATTCCAAATTTTCTCACTCTCATTTCATTTGCGTTTTGCAGGGAGAAAGCAATTCAGAGATGGTCAGGCAAATAGATGAATTGGTGAGTTGCACAACAAACAATATAAAAATTGAATTACCCATTTAATATCATTGGTATCTTGAGTACTCTGAACACTTACTGCTCAATGAACATTTACGTTAATGACGAATATTTCTTGTTAAAAAATAACTTTTCTCATCAACTAGTGGATTAATTGTTTCAATACTTGACTTTGAACATTAAAAGTCTATTACTTTATTCATTTTCAAAATTTGTGTAGGTTTTATTTTATTTATCTCGCATTTGGATATGTTAAGTGATGATGTTATCCAAATTAAAAATTTATTTAATTACTGTATGGCGAAGTCGGTAGTTTTTTGACAAGGAAGACTACCGGTACTGAAAACGATTTGAAGCGTCTATATATATATATATATATTTGCCCTCTTGTTAGTCATAAAATGTCAAGAACGAGTTTACTCGTCGTTACTGATAGAAATAAACTCAAGAATATGAAACCTCTGATTATAAATTTTTTTTTCATATAAAATAAGCATTAATACGCATGGAAGTTATTTCCTTTCCCCCTCCCATACATATATCGCCAATTAAATATTAACAAAATGC